ACTAAAAAAAGTGATAGTGGATAAAAAAAAAAAGTCGCAAAGAATATATAATATTCAAAATTATGCTAGAAAACAAATCAAATATTTTGTTACAGGCACACAAATCTAATCATCAATTCAAAAAACTCAATTGGTATACCATCCCTTGTGACATGGGGAGTGATCACTTCTGCAAGGGACTATTATTATTTAATGGTGGTCCGAGTTAGATTTTAGAGGTCTCTGATCACTTAATTTTGAGCCCTTCACTGCCTTTACTTTTTGTCCACAAGCTTCCCAATTACAGGGTATCCACGCACCTGGAAAGTCATAAATTTCAGTATTGAACAAAATTGTCATGATTTTAACTATTTTTTTTAAAAAAAAAATCATGGAAAGTCATGGATTTACATTGCCGAAAAATCTAATTTTTAAAATGGAACCCCCCCCCCCCAATTTCTTGTTCCAATATCCGAATTCATAATCATCTCTCATAGTTATATTTTATTAGAATATAAAATGTTTTTGTCATGTTCTTTAAAAATTATGGTGTTCTTCAGGGCTCGAAAAACCACCCGTCTGCTCGTCTTCGGCGGTCAAAAATTCCCCGCGGACAACAAATTTCTCGAATTCAACGTCCGTGCAGACGGCCATTTTCCCGTTAATGTTCGTGATACACTTTCAATTTTTGTTATCCTACAAGAGTCTAGCGCCTCACTTCTAAAATGACCCTCTAATCTAGAAATACAGCAACATACTGTGCATGGGGATAATTAATGTTTTCTCTGTCTGGGAGCACTGCAGCGGTTGAAAGAGGCTTTTCAGCAATGAACTTACCAAAAAAACATATTACGTACTGGTCTTAAACAAGAGTTAAACGCAATTATGAACATCTACCTAAATGGAAAACCCCTTTCAGATTTCTGTGCAGAAGTCTGTAAATCATTAGCTTGATTGTGGAACTGGCAAACGTCATATTTGATTCATTTAAAAAACGCAGTACCCTCGGATAAATTGACATTCCAGATAACTTGACCTTTGTCATTTAAATTATTTCTTAAAAGAAATAAATTGTTTCATAAAAGAAATACTAGGTTTTGCTATTAGTAACCTAGTATTTCTTTTATTACTGTATAATGTAATCCTAGTAACTACTAATTCATTGTGCAATTTATATAAATGTTTGTAATAAATAAGATAAAATTATATTTTTATTTATTTAGAAGCTACGGGTTAGTTTCAAAGGAGGACGGGTACATTGTTGGACAAGCCGTCCTCGGGGACGGGTAAAATTTCGGAGTTTTTTCCAGCCCTGGTGTTCTTTCAAAAAATGAATGAAAAAAATATATAATTTCTGGAGCGAATTATCTTTTAAACTATGATTTAAGAACTTTTATTATTTATTTTTTATTAATTTTAAATTCCAGCTGAAGCAAACCAGTCATTGGCAAATTTTTTTAAATTCCGAAGAGAAAACAGAAAATCAGGAGTATTTCTTTCCTTTCTGATGAACATGAAAAGTATCTTTAGAATAAAATTCTGCAGAAAAAAAGAAAAAAATTTATTTGCTTTTGTATTTTTTTCAGCTATTTTATTGTTTCAACTCTTTCTTTACTCTGTTTTTTAAATTTAAAATCTATAAATGTGAAGATGCATAGTATATCAGTTTGGGTTATACCTATCTTCAATTAATGTTATTATAATACTTTTTTAAATTTACTGTTGTGTTTTTGTTGGAGAAAATAGTAACTTCGTTAAGTCATGTAAAATTCTTGGAATTAGTCATGAAAAGTCATGAATTTGAAAATCTAAAATGTAGCAGATACCCTGCAATTAGGAAAATCTATAAATCCTAATACTCTTTTAAACTGTTATGTCATAAAGCTTGTGGTCTTGGTGTTTAATTATTCAGCCAGAATACAGGTTTTTTAAGGGTGAAAATTTATAACAAAAAGTAACAGAGAGGTGTTACTCACAAAGAATGACAGACATTTCATACTTAAAAACTAAACTAGCAAGGCCCAAATTACACATGTTGGATAGAAATAAAGAAATAAACATATATTCAAACATGTAGATCCAAAATAAGACAAAGCTGCCCGTAGTTGGTAGATAAATTAGTAGTCTAGTAAAATAGGTCAGTACTATTTTCACAAATAATAGCTTAATGAAAATTCTCTACCACAAGAAGTAAGTATTTTCTAAAACAGATAAATATAATCAATGTAAATCTAAGAATTTTTCTATCAGAAATTATTCTAATTTTTTTTCTTTAAGTTTAAAACTATGAATATAAACTCTTTCATTAATGGTATATTCTATTCTCCCTTTTAAAATATCATTGGGAATTCTAATAAAAATATATGTTTCATTGTTTAATCTATAAATACAACACATACAAAATTAATAAGAAATTGAGCAAAATATTAGGCTATGTCTTTTAGTGAATAATGTACGGCTTATGGATTAACTAATATTAAATTCTGAATTATAATCTATACCATCTTAACACTAAATAAGAAATATAATCTACTAGGAAGCAAACTAGGTTTTAAAATTCAGAAAAACTACGACAATGGGAAATCTATCTTTAACTATAGATGCTTCATGGATAAATAAGATTTCTCAATAAAAAAATAAAATAAATTATCTTTCCCTTTTTGTATAATTGACCTTTGAAATCACCAGCCATTTTTGGGATGAACATTATATATTTATGAACAAATTCTCGAAAAATATAATTTACTCAAAATAAAATAGCTTATAAATAAACTCTAATTAAAAATAAATAAAATTTTGATTATTTTTATTAATATATTTGAGACAGTTTCAAAATAATTTTAGTTTTAAAGATAAATTTCAAGATAAAATTAATATTTATATAAAATGAATACACTCAAGGAACTGAAGCGGAAAGATCTACTTTATCATTTAATGTGTTGTGTGATGGGAAAAGTTTTTAAACCATCAAAAATGTAGTGTTCCTAAACAATGAAAAGTTGAAACACTTAATAATGATGAAAAATATAAATTTAAGTTTCTTAGAGAAAAAAATAATACATTCATTGTATAAAATAATTTGCATTGTAAATAAGAATTTTTCCCACTAAATAATAAATCACAGAAGTCCTAAGTTATTTTTAAAATGCTTATAAGTAATCTTCATATATATATATATAATAGAATTAAATATACAAACAGAATTTTCAAATAAGATTTAGTTAAATAAACTAATTTAACAAGTATTATAATACTTGTTAAATTAGTTTATTTAACTAAATCTTATTTGAAAATTATTCAAATAAGCTTCACTTCATGGTAAGAAAAAAAATAAAGTAGCATAAAGAAAAAAAATAATTCATTTGAAAATATATCAATAATTATCAGTGAATAACTGTAAAATAATTTGCATCTAATACAAAATTTCAGCTCTGTAATAAAATAGAATATCATACAATAAAAAGTACATGTTCACAGAAAAATGCAGCAATATTAAGCTCTATTACAAAAAATATAAAATATATGTTTTAAAAAATTTTACTTGTAATAAATTTTAAAAAGAAAAAATATTTTCACTTTCTATATTCAAATTATTTCCTATTAATAAAAGTTTCAGCATAAAAAAGCGCAAATATAAATAGTTTTTATTCATGCTAGAAAGAGCTAAAATCCACAGCGTGAATGTTTCCAAATACTTTAAAAATGTTAAATAACAGTTTACAATAAAAATAATTCTTGAAAACATTGATTTCTTTAAATAATTAAAACTACAACTTATGCTTAATTAATTAGTTATACAGAAATTAAAATATCAAATGCTCTTTCTTAAGAATACAAAACTTTTTCACTGAAAAATTAACCTCAACATCCNCTTGCCGCATAATTTTTAAAAATCGCCGCATCCTAGCCGCATAATTTTTAAAAAATTTCCGCATAATTTATAGGGCCCTAGTCATAAATAAAATATATTGAATTACATTCATGCTTTACTTTACTTATTTGTTTAGCCAAAATATAGATTTTTCAATCTTTAAAATAAAAGGTCTTAAAATTAGGAGCAAAATTATGTTTTGGTTAAATAAGATGATGTTAAGAAAAGGAAACTTTTTCAAGAATTAAGATTGCACCCTGAAACAAACTATTTTTTAAAGTAAAAAGTTGTAGAATATTTTTGAAAGAATTTAAAATTAAAGAATCTAAAACTTTTTTTTAGAATTCTTTTCCAATTAGTGCAGGAGAGCCGTTAATGGTTATAGAACTTTCATTTATCTACAACCATCTATTGATTTATCAGAAATTCTATAAATGTATTTTGGGAACCAATTTACAAATTTTTAGCTAAGAAAAAAAAAATTATACTATGATCCTAAATATTTAATTATATATATATATTTAGGTAAATATATAATAAAATAATGCTTCTATTGAATTGAGTTTACATACAAAATACATGTTCCAATATAACTAAAACAAGAATGTAATCATTTCTATACTAAGATTCACTGAATAAAACATAGGTAGTCTCACATAAATGTTATATGGGTACATAACAGTTTTATTCAGGGATTTACCAGAATAAAAGGCAAAAGGTATTGTTTTAAATTAAAAGTGTTAATATGCTCATAATTAAAACTTATAATTCAAATTCAGTTAATTTATGTCATTATTTAAAAAGTCATCATTCAGTCAATTATTCAAAAAGGAATATGTATAGTTTTACATAATTAAAAAATGTCACAGGATTAAACAATATTAGAAGATTATTTAGTAGGTGAACTGCAAATATCACTTAGCTTTGAAATAAGCTAACTTTAATGCTATTGTATATATAGGCCTATAATTAATATTTATTGGTTATGTTTTGATCCACAGGCAAATTTTTCAAATAAAATAGCAACCATTTTATTACTGAAAAAAATGTATATATGTTAACTCCAGATTTCAAAACAATTAGCTAAAAATGTATATCAAATAATATAAATCAGATTAAAATTTTACATTCGTAAATGCTTTTTTTCTTCTTCTTTCAAATGTGAGCTAAATTAGTAAAATATATCTTAGAATTGCTTTAAGCCAAAAATGTTATTCAGAGTCTTAAAACATTTATCTCTTCAGAGCTGCCAGAAATAGATTAGAGCTAAATATTTAATTAAATATAACCTAAAAATATTTAATTAATATCCATAAATGAACAAAATTTAGGTTGGATTTCGAATCACCAGAATGTAAATGTATCACATATGAATTTTTGATAAAATACACATAATATTCAATAGCAAAAAATAAAAAATGATGATTGCAATTAAAACAATAAGCTTTTGTAGACATGCATTTACAAATAGAAAATCAACCATTCAATATTATTATTATCATCGAATGTTGGCATTAATGTTAAATGTAGTAATGAAAACAATGAGTTTTTCCATGAGACATCTACAATAATGTTAAATTAATTCACCTGCAACTTCAACTTCTATCGAATCACATTAAGAAGGACACATTTATTTTTACTAAGCCTTCCCAATAGACGATCACCCAAGTCTTTGCGTATTTCCATCCATGCGTAATTGGGTGAAACAGCTACATCTTCAAGGGCAGATTTACAAGATATTAAGATGCTCAGACAAATGCCGTCATGTTCACCAGTTGGCTGAGCGGAATGTTCAACAGACATTATTCCATGGGGTTTGTGAGGAGGAGGATTTGATCCAAATAGTACCTAAAAATGTTAAGTTGTGATTAGAATTTATTGTTCATATACATTGCATAAGCATGTAAATAAAATGAATTTTTTAAATGCCTAACATTTCTTTATACTACATCAGTTAACATTTTAAATTTTGCTCATATTTTTCATGCAAATAATGGTGAGCAAAAATGACTAGTACCTTCAGAACTAAAATTTCATGCCCTGTCTTAAAATAAAGAAATGTTTGCTAATATTATTAATTGTCTCACCTGAATATATTTTCTTAGTGTTGAGTGGATGCTTTTGGCAGGGTTAATTTCACAAGTAGGGAAATGAACATTTCCTTTCTCTGATATCAAAACATGAATCCTATTACTGAAATTAGAAATAATAAAACCAATCAGCTTTTTTTTCCCTTATTTTCTCTGCTTTTTAAGTAAACCAAATTTTAGTTAGAAAGATTAAAGAAACATTTCATTTTAATTTGAATCTTCAAAAAATACAAAATCAAGTTATGTAGAGAGAAAGGATTTATTAATTATAGAAAATACAGAGAACCATGGAATTTAATTCATAATTTTATGAAAGTCACACTTAAAGTTTAATTTAAATGCAGAAGCCCAAACTTCTGCTATTTTCTTTGCAGATGAGAAGGTAAATTTCCACCCAGGGGCCCCCACCAGGGGGGGAGGTGGGCGCACGATGCGCCCACCTAAAGCTTGGGGGGGGGAATTTTTACACTAAATAAAACGAATAGTTTGGGGGGGGAATTTAGACGAGAGAATTTTTTTTTATAGTACATAAATAAAAGAATATATTTCAAGAAAATATATATATAAAATATATATATTTTTATTCTTTATATATATTCTTTATAAATAAAAGAATATAAAGAAGAATTTATAGTACATAAATAAAAGAAGCAACTGGCCATTTGACAAATGGTATCAACTGTCACTCTACTGAGTATCAAGATTGAAGAAATTGATTGATTTCGGTAAGTGCAAAAAATATAAATTTATATTCTTACAATTAATTATTACCAATATATGTCACACATTTATTTGTGCTTTTTCCCCTCTTTAATTCAAAACTATTTACTCTTTGTAGTCAAGGGCTTCAAAATTATTAATAATGTTTTTATTATTTTTATTACTACAAACATTAAAAAATTTTCAGTATTCATTTAAAATATATTGAAAACAATGAAAAAATCTAACATTTTCGTTAATTTAATATAATTACCATATGAGGTAAAAATGTTATTAAAATCACTTACAGTTAGTTTCTCGTAGTTGGAAATAGAAAAGAAAAAGAAATGATNTATTTTTTTACTTATTATTTCCCACCCCCTTTTTTCATATGTCTATAATTTTTCTTTGTTTTTTTCTTCATTTTGAACTTTTATATATATATATATATATATATATATTATCATCGTTAAAATAATAAATTTTTAATCTGAAAAATTTTTGCTTTGCTTCCTACAAAAATATCATGCTTTTATTTTCAGGCCATTTTAACCCTTTATCTATCGCATTATGTTGCAGATGACTTTTCATGTATATTTTTTTGTTTTTCTTAGTTGGAAATACATCAAATAACATATTTTTAGAGTAAAAACATTTTGCCCATTTTTGTACAAAGAATTTGTACGATAGGATCATTAGTCCACCTCACAGAAAAGTACAAGGAATGGTACTTTCAAATACCAGCAGAATTCCAGCCATAATACTAAATTAATGTATCTTGTACTTTTAAGTACCGTCGGTAGATAAAGAGTTAAAATGGGCCCCCCCCCCAATGAAAAAAATCGTAACAATAAGAAATGAACATAATTCCACAAACGAAGCCAGCCATTTTTTAAAGAATATCTCCTATAAATTGTAGTTCTTTTGTATGATTAGTCCATATTTACACCTTTTCCTACACTCTGCTTCTATATTTTGCTAAAACAAAATTGCTCTCTTGAGCATGGTTCGTTGATTTAAATCACGATTTAATGCAAGTGCTTTTTTAATTTAAATCATTTTTTTCAATTTAAAATTTTTGTTTCTATTTTTGGTGTAAAATATTTTCATATAACTAGATCACAAAACTTCTGATGGTTATAAAAATCCTGAATTGAATCCTGGATCTTGTAATTTTATTATATAATACATGCTATAATGTTAAAGCAACTCCAAAGTATTCCAAAATCTTATATCCAGAGAAAAAAATTATCTTCATATGAAATAAAAAATTAAATGACTATAAACTAATATCCAGAATGTTGTATTTATAATCCAGATTTAAAAAATAATAATATTTGCATTACATAAAAATAAAAAAATAAATAATTCAGTGCAGTGTTAAAGTGTTCCTTTCAGTTTTTTTATTTCTTACTGAATGTAATGCTTACAATTTATTTATTTTAGTTTTTTTTCTTGCATTAGTTAATGGTGTGCAGTTATTCGGTTTTCATTAAATTATGCTCATAAATTATGCTCATCTATAATTAATCACTAATTAGTGATTAAACGTTTTCATGGGTTTTGAAAAGTATTTGCACATATACACATCAACACCTTTCTCCTTTCTGCAGACAGAAATTTCCTGTGTAGCTAGGTTGTAGATTAAATGAAAATTTAGTTTATGAGTTAAAAATAATAATATATATAAGTTATATTATTATTAACTTCATTTAATAAAAATAATTAAATTATTCAATTCAAGGGAATTAAATTAAAATATGTTTTCATTCAGGGTCTGATGCACATTCCATTTGAAATAAGGAGACAGATCTACTCGTATCTCTAGGATAGTCAATTGAGGGTTACAGTTTTAAGCAAGATCATGCCAAGGATTCAGAAAAATGTATACAAATACAAATGTTTAGAATTACTGTGCCATAAAATTATCAGGGGCGACAAATGGAACACTCATTGCAAACAAGCTCACAAATTTAAATTTAATAGTGGTGTTGAAATAAAGCGAAAAGTATTGGAAATTAAACATGCAAATGGGCAATGGCAGAAAGTTGATACCATATTTAAAGAAAACGGCTCATCTTCACGAAAAGCTGATTCAACTGTAGATGTTGCCCAAACAGAAGCAGTACCTTTGAAATCTGCAGAGTTTGTAGTATCAGCCGATCCATGCACCAAAGAAAGCGCACCAAGTACTAAGGATACTATCGAAATAGATTTACTGCCAGTAAATTTGCCCAAGTTAGTAGAATCAGATTATTCATGTGCCAAAAGAGACACACCAATTGATACAGCATCACAAGTAGAAGTAATCCCGGCGAAATCTCCCGAGTTGGTACAATCAGCCGATTCATGTACCAAAGAAAGCATATCACTCAATGCAGCAGAAGAACCCAAACGGAGAGAATCGTCATCTTCAAAAAGAATATTTGCTCCTAGAACGCCTTGTTCAAACAGTGAAGACGAAAGTACGATTGGGGCTGGAAATATCTGGGCAGAAAATGACCCAATATGCTTTGCTGGAAAGCGTTTGAACTCATATTCAATAACGCATTTGTTGAAAATTGGTGCATGTCAACCAACAGAGTTACATTTAGACTCCGGAGTAAGTGGCCGACAATTTTCAACTATCTGGTATAGAGCAAAACTACCAGATGGAACCGAAAAATGCAGAAAGTGGCTATCCTATAGCCCCGCCACTCATAAGGCCTACTGCATATATTGCATAATGTTTGGTGGCCCCAAAGCATCCAACGTATGGACTGAAAGTGGATTTTGTGATATGGACCATGGGCTGCGAGATATCACGAGGCATGAAAAAACATTGAACATGTTGATGCTGAAAAGGCAGTTATCCGCTGGTTACGAGGGGAGCGCATAGATAGAAGGAATGCAACAATTCAAAACGTTATAGTAGAGCAAAATCGCCATGTTGTGAGTTGCATGATTGATTGCGCGAAATATCTTGCAACAGAAATGATGGCATTTCAAGGACACGATTCAAAATCAGGTAAATTTTTGAACTTGTTCAGGGTTATAGCGAAGCATAATCCTTATGCACAAAGTTATTTGGATAAACTAGACGCTGATCGCGAAAAAAAGAAACACATTGCGTCAAACCTCCTGAGTTGGCGCGATCAAAACAGACTTATCCAGGCAATGGAGTTATGCATCATCAATGAAATTGTTCCGAGTCTTAAACTACACAAGGTATGGTCACTCATTATTGATTGCACTCAAGACGTCAGCAAGAAAGAGGTAATGGCTATTATTGTTCGCTACCTAGAGAATTCATCGAATCAAAATGAACCACCAAAAGTAGTTGAGCGTCTACTGAAAGTATTAACACTCAAATCATCCACAGGAGCAGCTATGAAGGAAATAGTTCTTCAGACTCTTAAAGAATCCAAAATTCCGCTAGAAACCCTCGTTGGGCAGAGCTACGATGGTGCTCTCAATATGCGTGGCGATTTCAAAGGTTTGAAAACACTGATCCAGGAAGTTGCACCAAAGGCTGAATATATTTGGTGCAGTAGTCACCGTTTTAATCTAGCGATAAACGCAGTCGGTAAATCGTCGATTGAAATGAAAAGAGCCATTGATATGCTACAAGACTTATACGTCTTTATGTCTGGCTTTAAACGGAATGCAGTTTTCGTAGAAGAGCAAGGAAATGGACAATGTCGGTCGTTAAAGCGAGTCCAGACAACGAGATTTAGCAGTACTAAAGACGCTGTAACTACTATACTAAAGACTTTTACTACTGTAATTTCTACATTGAAAAGAATAATTGGAGATCCGCACATGGAACATGAAACCATCACTAAAGCGACTGGTTTGCTGCACAGAGTACAAGATATCAACTTTGTTGTGTCTCTCTATATACTGGATAAAATTTTTACCATTACATCTCCTGTGACAATATTAATGCAGGGAGTTGCAGTCGACCTGGCCCAAGCAGCCCAGTTGCTTGAAATTTGCAAGATTGGCATCAGGAAATTAAGAGAAAATGTGGACACATCGTGGAAAAAAATATGGGAGTTGTCATGCACATTTTCCGAAACTCATGGCATTGATACCGAGATCAATCGGAGACAAAGGAGAGTTCCCCACATGCCTGGTGAAAATTGCCGGGATGAAAGACTTCATGGAGAAGAATTACTAAAAACGAGTTTATATATTGTGGCTTTGGATGGTTTGAGCATTCAACTTGAAGATCTTTTTCCGGAAAAAAATTTGACTTTATACCGTCAAATGAGTCTTTTTAGCGAAAAAAGTTTAAGATCTTCGACATTCAAAGCTACAAAAGATGACATAGGCTTTCTATGCAATAAGTACGGTCTCGATGCTGACGAAGCCGTTAATGAATTGGAGAACTTTAGAGATCTTTATCTTGAATTGGGAGAAGATGACAGTGAAATTCATAAGAAATATCAAAATGCAGCATCACTGGACACAGAGAAAGAAAGCTCACAGTCTGAAATTGACGAATCAGATATGGCGGTTCCTTATAAGGATTGGAGGAAGTGTGGATTTTTTCCCCCACTGAAAGTAGCTTTCGAAATTTCCGCATTTCCTACAATAACATGCATTTATAAGATCTTGACCATTCTACCAGTCACAAGTTGTTCCGCTGAAAGAGCGTTCAGCAGGCTTAAAATCATCAAAAATAGATTGCGGTCTACCACTGGCACGAAGCGTCTTAACAGCTTACTGATAATTGCTGCAGAAAAGGATATATTGCAGAAAGTGTCGACAGATCGTATTATTGATACTTTTGCCATGAGCTCGAAAGTTTTAAAGAAATTATTATTACCAGCCAGTTCTCTTGACTAAAGCAGCAATAATATGATTTGTTGAGACTTTTTTAGATGTATCGTGTACGTTTTAACCCTTACAGTCACTATCTTTATTCAGCGATCAAAGACAAATATTTTTGTGTGTTCTGTGCTACTTTTTACCAAATTAAGGGAAAAATGTAAAAAAAAAATTATGCTTATCTATATAATGAAATAATTCTGTAAAATATAATGCGAATGTTTATTTATTAATTAACAAATATTTTCAACAAATGCATCATTTGCTTTGGTTACTTTTGTACATTGCTTATGAATGAGACTTACATATGCCTAAAAATTTTTTACAGTTTGAAAAAAACCCAATAAGTATGAACTTTTTTGTTTATTAAAAATGTTTGCAGTGAATCAATAAATCTTGAAATTTTTTAATTTTTAAAAAATTATTTTTTTTTAAAAATGGGTAATGAAAATTTGTTTTAAAAAAAAATCTTTACATTCTTAACGGTATAAAGAACCATTTGCATAATTTTTTTGTTAAAAAACGGCGATCGACAGGGCTAAAAAAAATCTCGAAATCATGTCCATTAAATTTGCCTGAAAGGGTTAATTGTGCTAAAATTCAAACTCTTGTGATGATTGCTGCTTGCCATTTGCTGTATTGTTTGGTAACTTCAATAAGCATATTTTTTTTAATTAATAGTTTAAAACTTCTGAGCTCATTAATCTACAGGTGCCATCAGTAATTTATCATTTATTGTAATAGTTTAAGTCAGCCCATTTTCAATTATTTTTTGGGCCGTCTTTTTTAATTTATTTATTTTTGCTTTAAACGTATTTTCAGCATTCACAATCAGGATCAAGGTCTGCATTTGTCATATTATGTGTAGAATGCGAGCAAAGTAGCACTATTTCGAACAAGCTAACATGGAAGGGGGAAGTTAACAATTTTTTTGGGGGGGATGAATGCGCCCAAGAGCTTGGGGGGGGATGGGGGCCACTGTTTCCACCAATTCTTAATATTCTTACAATTATGCTTAACCCTCTCAATAAATTCATGAATTCAGTAAGAAAGTAAGAGTTATCACCGGCACCAGAATAATTAATTACACACTCCAAATATATATTTATATAATTATTATGTTAAAAACAATTGAAAAATTTCAATCTTCTAGAAGTAGAGAGGTGGTGAATCAGGGAACAGAGTGTTCACCTTCCAATGAAGTGACCCAGATTTGAATTTCAGCGATGGCTGATCGATACGAATTCCGCACCCAGCTCGCACCGAAGACAGTGCTGACTTAAAATATCCCCAGTGGTAGACGGATCATGCGTTAGGCCAGCCGTGGGAGATTTTTCATGGTTTTCATTTCCATATATGGCAAAAACGGGTTAGTTTCACCAAAAAGTCTTCCACAAAGTCCAATTTCTCTCAATACTTGATCTTCTGAATTTGGTTCAAAATTGCAAGGCTACAGAGTTGAACATTCGTAGCCCAAAATTGGGTCAGCTCTTCAACGACGGTTATAAAATAAAATATAAAATGTTACGTAGTTCAAAAGAAGATGATTATAATGCATGAATATTTAAAGAATTTCTCCCAATACTTGACCCAAGAGTTCCCTTGTCTTCGCAATTTGTTTCCAAATGACAAGGCTAGGGAGTTGAACACTAGTAGTTGTAAACCCAAAATCAGTTAGGCTGTTCAATGACGGTTATAAAATAAATTATTTTGGGAGTGAGCTACGGTGGCTAAATGAATAAGGCACTGGCCTTTGAATGAGATGGTCCGGGTTCGAATCAAAGAGGTGGCTGGTTGATATGAATTCTGCTCCCATCTCGCACTGACCACAGTGCTGACATAAAATATAATTAGTTGTAGATGGATCATGGGTTAGAATCCCCTTGCTGTTGGGCTGATTGTAGAATGATTTTGAAGTTGCTGTTGTTATGTAAGGCAAATGTGGGTTAGTTTCATCAAAAAGTCCTCCACAAAGGCTAGTTTGCCCCAATGCTTGATAAAGAAGTGCCCTTCTCTTTTGTGTTTAAAATTACAAGGTTATGATAATCATAAACTCAGAATTGGGTTGGCTTTGCAAAACCGGTTATGAAATAGAATAAAATCTTTCAGAAGTTAACTTACTTGGATTTTTTTCTTATCACAATAATTAAACGAAAGAGAAGGTGCTTGTGAGGATAAACAGCAGTTAGTAATGGACGGTGCCATGTTTCAGGTTTCTCTGCGTAAAATTGTTTAGCTCGTTCAATAAGAGGTAGTATATCACAAGCCCGTAGACTGAGCTGATTTAGGTCATCAATCCAACTTGCTTGCAATGATTCTGCATCAGCTCTGGCTACTGTTTTAATTACACCCCCTAAATGAAAGAGATTTAAATTTAAAATATTAAAAGATATAATTTATTGAAGCACAAAAATAACAACAACAATTTTTTTTTTTTTACAGAGACGCTTGTATCAAAACTTAATTGTACCTTAGTTTTCATTAAAAAGAATTTTTGCTAAAGTAAAAATATTTTTAAAAAAAAAAATTATTCTAGAATTTTCTAATTAAATTTGTTAGAATTTTTATTTATAACTTTTCTTAAATTACATAAAAAAAAGCACTTTCAGAAATTGAAAACATAATAATCTTTATATATTTTTCTCTTATGTAGCACCATAAACTTGGACAATCTCTACCTATTCGCAACATAGTCATTATTCCTTTTGTTAGGTTGTCTTAAGCAATAATTTAAGTAGTGTAAAAAAATTGGTTATAGGTTAAGTAAATTGCCCATTGTGCAGCTCTAGTGCGACGTAAAGTAACAACAACAACAACAGGTTAAGTATGCATTAAGATTCATTTTGCTAGGTTGTCTTAAGTAAAAATTTAAGTAGTGTTGAATAGTTAGCTACACGTTAAGTATTTATTTAGAATAATTTTGCATCTTTATAGAAATAAAAATTTAACTAAGACTAAACTTAATGCAGTAACTATTTAGATTTATTTCTGATCTTTTCCAAAATGGCTGCAAAAATTTTAAGCATAAACAGTGCAGCTTACTGTTATACCAATCATTGGTGACAGAACTTGCCTTTTTCGAGCAATATCACATATATACGGTAAGAAGTACTTAAGTTATGGGTTGAGAGGTGCGTGAGGAAGTAGTTCAGCAAATTGAAGATCAGGATGAGTTTTCTGTCTTATGTCACGACGGAGATGGAAATAATTTCAATACTTCTGCTGCCTACTATGCTGACATTTCGCAGTGACATGACAGATTGTGTAATTTAATGACAGCTGAACAGATTTTAAATCATTTCTAAAATTCAATACAAAAAGAACTTCTCTCTTGAAACAACAGACAGGTTTTGAAAACAGTTAAAATTGAAGTTAATATCCTGCTTGTACACAGGCAAAGCAGCAGGTTACAGTTAGACAGTGAAAACGTTTGGTTAATATATAGTATAAGTGTTAGGTGTTAGGATTGAAGGAGGGTTCAAAGAACTAGAATATATAAATACAGTAGCGCTGTACATTCGCTTGGTAAATATTAAATTGGTAACTATTAAAGTTCATATGTTGTACAAGATAATTTTGAAGGGTAACCAAGCTGGTCTCTAAAAGGTGGCTAGTAAATTTAGAGATAAAATATCAGGAAAAAAAATAGCTTTATAAATTTCTTTCTAATGTCATGCGATTAAACAAATCGAAATGAAAAATTGGTATTTAAAATCATAAAAAACACTAAATGCCAGAAACAAACACAAGTTTTTTATTATTCCATTTCTTAAATTCCCATTTTTTATAGTAAAATAGCATGTTACTTGCATTGCCTTTTTTTTAGAGCATCATTCTAAAAAGAAACAGAAAAATTAATACAATAAAGGAAAATTGTACAAAAAATTGTATGAACCTGTAATTTTGCCAGTAAAGACAAATCTGTACCAGTGACCTTGAGCACATTCAACTAGAAGTAATGTAGAAGGTTCAAATTCTAGACCAGTTTCTTCTAAAACTTCTCTTTTGACTGCATCCTGGAAAAATAATAGTAAAAATACTTAACACTTATAACTCAATAAAATCAGCATACTAAACAATCAAAATCTCTACATAAACTGAAATAAAAAGAAAGCTTTTGATATTAAGAACATAAGAAATGCTTCATGGAAATGCTACCAGTAGCCCATCTGCGTCAAAGAGCTAAAAGATAAGTGAGCTCAGGTAAACCATAAAGTTTCAAATGCTTAAAAATTGTTTTTAAAATATCAAAATGCGAACAAATTATGGTAAAATTACTGCCCCTACTATTAGAACAACTTAGAATTAAGCATTGGGGAAGTAATTTTGTCATAATTTGTTCGCATTTTGATATTTCAAAAACAATTTTTAAAACATTATATTTACCTGAACTGACCTTTTTCTATACTTTAATTATGTTCATGACAGAGAACTTGCCATGAAGGATTTCTCCCGAGGTATATAGCATCCTCATAGAGTCATGTAAGATATCAAAAATTGTTTTCTTCAAGGAGCATCTCATGTGCGAGTGGAAAATAATTAAAACCCTGATGTTACCAGTTGCAAATATCAATCTATAATAAAATTACTCACTAGAATATCTTCACCAGGTTCAACCCTACCAGCAGGTAAATACCAAGTACCAGCGCAGGCACTTTTAGCTTCTTGCATCATCAGCACTTCATTCTTTTCATTGATTAGAACAGCAGCTACAATATAGGAAACTGATTTTTTCACAACAGGTTTGTAATCAGAAAGTGACAAGGTTTCCAGACCTCTTGAAACTGAAAATTAAAAAAAATAAATAAAATTAACAAAAACATTATGAAAATACAAAATTAAAACTGAAGGTATATATACTAAGCTAAATAAATAAAAAACAAACACTAAAAAATAAAAAGCTTAAAAAAATAAAAATCCAAACTTTGGACCGCTGTCCTGACCAAACTATTGGGACCATATTTCCTAGATTGCGGCTACCCCCTATATTTCGAGGATCAGAGAAATCCGAATCCGTCGAAATTTTTTTTATGTTTATTCAACGAAAATACGTTACTGTGTCTGATTTCGTAACTTAAAATATCGTCTGAACTAATTAATTACATATTTGCTTGAGGTCATCCCTTCAAACCATTAAGATCGAGTCCTAGAACGTGAAGATCCGATTATGTATTAGATCAAAAGTTCAGGGTGGTCCGTTTTTCATTTTGCACACTGTACCTATTTTACACAATAAAATTTTATTCAACTACAAACATTATACCTTTTATTCTATTTATTCTAATTATTTTCATTTCTGCAGTTCAGTTACACAAAAATTTTAAAGTCTACAAATGCTTTAAAAAAAAAATCTTAACCCTAGATAAATACGACCTTAAATGTTATTTTCACGTGACGAACTCGAATTTCGGGGGCAAAATGTGCGAATATATCCTTTCAAATGTTTGAGCACGCAATGAAGCAAGTAAACGTTTTGGGAAACCTTAAGCGTCTGATACAGCTCATTTAAAATTGTCGGCTCATTTATTTAGGCAGGATTATAGGTAGAAATGATGATTTAAGAATCACAAAATAATAGGAATACAGATTTAAACCAATGTGAGAATCATAATTTAAGAGATCAAAAGATAATTTGAGCTCATGATGCCGTAAGGTTACCACTGAACTAATGTTTTCAAAACGTCGAAATTAAAACTAGTATTTTTGGAAATGCTAAATAGAATCAATACATTTTTAAACATTTTACGAACAGTTTTTAACGCTTGCAATTAAATGTAGTACTTTTCTTTCCTTATACTCAAATATCAAATTTAACAAATCAACCACTGAAGGCATGAAACTACAGTTAGTATTTCTGAAAATGTAGAGTTGACAATCAGAATTCATTTTAAAACATTCTACAGGTTTTTTTGCTTTTTCCAATGCCCACCTGTGTTAACATTTTTCGTCAATTCAGGCACTTACAGGGCAATTTTGTTTTTCTCTCTTTCAAGGGCACCAAATTAGGTGAGCCAACGTTGCTCCCACAGTAAGGATAGATAGTGTAGAGAAGGAAAGAACATCCATGCCTTACTCGGGATTCGAACCCAGAACCTTTCTGAGGCAAGGGCAGCTCCCTAACCCCTACATAGGCCGGTCGGCGACAGTCTACAAGTAGTTTTCAACATATTCATGAAAATATTCCCGTAACTTTGAATATATTCGAACAAATATTTGGTTGTTCAAAAAGCTAGTTCCAATTTTTGAAAAGTAGTGTTTAGACAAGTTTGACTATATCAGAATGGTTGAAAGCAAATAATATGTATACACATTGAGACGAAACTCGGAAAAGCATTGCTCCCAATTAAACAAATTGAAGACAGGAATTGAATAAAAATTTCACGAAACATGAAATAGAATTGAATACAGGAAAGATATTTGATAAATTATGTGACTTTGTTAACTCAAGAAACGTTGTTAATGCCATAAGATTTCCAACTGCTTTTATCAGACCAGAACTCCTTTAGATAAAAATTAAGAAAACTTTTTCTTTCCCGAAATGTTAAAATATTCAAGTTGCCGAAATTATATTAAAAATGTAGTGAAACAGAATATCAGGGTGCTCCGTATTCATCACCCTTAATACATAATTTTAGATTCCTTGTAAGAAAAACTTACAATCATAAATGCGTTACGAGTTACAAATTGATATTTAATCGAGGAAAAAAATGTTAAAGAACCTCTGGCGAATTTACTATTAAGGTAGACGGAATTTTATTATTTTATTTTATTACCGTCGTTGAACATAAGACCCAATTTTTCGGGTTTACGACTACTAATGTTCAACTCCGTAGCAATGTAATTTTGAAACCCAATCCAGAAGACAACGGGAACTCCTGGATCAAATATTGCGAGAAATTTTAATTTCGTGAAGAACCTTTTGATGGAACTAACTCGCATTTGCGTTGCATGGAGAGGAAGACCACGAGAACCCCCCACCGTTAGCCTAACGGTAAGAGGACTCTAATCCGTCTAACACTGAGGATATTTCAAGTCAGCACTGTGGTCGGTGTAAGCCGGATGCGGAATTCGTATCAATGAGCCATCGTTGGAATTCGAACCCGGTTCACCTCGTTGGAAGGCGAAAGCTCTATTTCCTGAGCCATTGCGGCTCAGGCAGACGGAATTAAAAATAAAAATCACAATTTGATTGTCGTGTAAAATAAGAAGGAGGTTATCAAAATTTCTGTCTTTTTATTTCGCCGAATTTGGATAACGCTCTTCTTTTTCTTCACTTAAAATTTAACCTAATATGTAAAGAATTTATATTCATCATGGAAAAACCTGTATGAATTAATCTCCAAAGGTTTAAATGTGCTGGGTTTTAGTTTCTTCTCAGAACCGTGACAGGACTGACGCAAATTTTATTTTAAAAAGTAAATAGAACTAATAATTCTACGAACCCATTATTTTAATGCTGCAATATGACCAATTTTTATTAAATATTATATATAAAACGAAAATATGGCGTCTATGAACTAAGAAAAATGGTAATATTCGGAGATTGATGATGAAACTTCTAAAATTGCCTCAGACGCGCAAATCGTCCGTGACGACGTAAAAACATCCATAATTCTCTCTTTAAAGGTTATACAGTATGTCGGTAATAACCATAAATAAATAGCTACTACATAACGCTTTATTGTGCTCTGTTATGCTCTTCTTTTTTGTAGAAGTATTTCCACATTCCTTGTAATTACCTTGTACCATTGCATTTTTTCCTATTTTACTAATATCAAAAATATTTTTTTTAAATGGTCGTAATAAAGTTTTAGAAAACGAGGGATAATATATTTTATTAAGGCAAATAAAGTAAGAATTATTTATTTTTAATGCTTATTTGCGATAAGGTATGGTTTTTTGTGAAAGTTATTTTCTACGTTCAGTTCATTTTTTAAATGTAAAAAGAGAAAGAAAAGGAAAATTAGGAAGAAAGAAAAGTGGAAAAGTATGTTAGGAATTTTAAAAAAAGGAAATGATAATTTGCAATATGTTTTTCAAAAACAAGCTAGCCTTCAAATGTTTATTTATTTATTTATTATTATTCTTTTAAAGAATATGAAAACACATGCTTAAATCTGTAGTTAAGCTCAGGTAGCAGAAATCCTCCAGAAAGAGCTGCAGATTTATCAGAGCATCTGCAGATTTTTTTTATCATAGATTTATTGAAAAAGCCTAAAATATTACTAAGAGGAGAAACAGGAAAATAATTTTCAACTCCTAAACTTTTTTTCCTAACCTGCAGATATATTAGCAAAAGAATAGTAATGACTTTTAAAAATTCCAAACAATGTTCTTTAATTAACTGAAATTAAAAAAAAAAAGAAATTAAAATTAAGAAAAACATTAATAAAAAAAATTCTTAATTTCCTAAAACTCCAGTTGCTTGTTAATGTATATAATAATTATTAACTGTAAAGGGATTTTTCAATTTTTTAAAAATTTCAATGGTTTTATTATTCTAATCATTTAAAAGGTACAAAAAAAGTTTAATTAAAAAAAAATTTTTTAACAAATTTTTGTGTTGTTGCACCAGTGAGCAAAAAAATAAACGAACCACCCGGAATAATTTTTGATCTAATGATCGGATCTTCGCGTTCTAGGACTCAATCTCAATGGTTCGAGGGGATGACCTCATTGCTAATTAAGTAGTGCAGACGATATTTCAAGTTACGAAATCAGTCACAAAGCGTACTTTCTCTGAATAACAAATTTTATAATTGTGTGCATGAATATTTCAATTCACTTAAAAAGTTATCGAGATATTGACTAAACTATTGAGACCATATTTCCCAGATTCAGGATTACCCCCAACATTTTGGGGTCAGAAACCCGAATCCATCGAGAAGAAGAAAAAAAAACAGTATTCAGAGAAAGAACGTTTTTGTGTCTGATTTCGTAACTTAAAATATCGTCTGCACTAATTAATTAACATATTTGCGATCACTCTTTGGAACCGTTAAGATTGAGTCATGAGCACCGATCATTCATTAGATCAAAAGTTATTTTGGGTGGTCCCTTTTTTTATTTTTCGCACTGTACACATGTTAGATTAAACCTAATTCTTACAATAATAGTCTCTGTCTGACTGTGTTAGGGTCACCGATGGATTTGAATTTATGAAAATTGTGTCGCAAATTGAGTTTCGAAATTATGTTACCAGGGTTATGGCTAAAAAATCACTATATAGTTACTTTTTTATAATAAATTAAAAAGATACAAACACCATTATAACTATTTAGAAGTTTATTTTTGAAATAATTCAATTATAAAACTGCTTAGAATAAATTACGAAATAATTTAAGTATTAAACTGGCTATCATAATGGTTTCAGGTGCATTTTATGTCCGAGACAATGCAAAAAAGAAAAGTTCTTTAAAAGTTTTATTTTATATTAATTAACACTATCAAATTAAGACAAAAAATATTTAAACAACAAGATTTTTAATTGAATTTTTGAAAAATTATCCATTAATACTAAAATAGAGCCCATTTCATATAAAAAAAAGGGGGAGAGTTCGATTAATAAAGAAAAGTTCATTTTAAAACAACTAGGAGGCTTCGCCCTCTGCTCGCTGGCGTTCGCCAACCCCCAGAACTGCTTTCGCAGTTCATTTTTGATTGCTTCGCAATCCAATGCTCGCTCATTGGATACGTTCTTAACTTCTAGCTTTTGTATACTTTTTTGAACACGGAAGTTGCGAAAACTTTTCACTGTAGAAAATTCTAAACCTATGCAT